TTAAAATGATGATTAGTACAAATGACGTATTGGAATAAGATGTAAATAAGCAGAGAGTGAGGTTTTTGCTTTCAGGTATTTAAAGTTTTCTTTGTTCTTTTCCTTAAAGAGACACCCATCCAAACACAAGAGCCTCAGTCTGCAATTCCTTTGTGGATTATGGTGGCAGTGACTGGAGTTCTTGCATTCTACAGTATGTTTATAACGACAGTTTTTATTAACTACTGGGTAAGAAACTATTTTCCTTTGCTCTATACGCTCTTTGTCCCTAGTTCATTTCTTAGGCTATACTTGCCATGCTTACCACACACTCACTGATACTCCTTACTTCAGGATCCCAGTGCTTCTTCATCCCAGCTATGTATGCACACCTATATCATTCCCCAAAAGAGTTGAGACACCAGATGCTCTCCGGGTGGGCAGTCGGGCCTCTGCAGTAGAGTCTTAAAGCAAATAGTAATGCCATAGAGTTGGCAGTGCCGCGCACACCAGCAATGCTGGGACACTGTCTCTGCCAATTGTCTGTCAGGGAAATCTAGCACCACAAGCATTCCTGGCAAAACTCCTTGAGACTACACTGACAGAAGGAGCTCACCCACAGTAAAACAATCTTTAGGGAACACTCAGTTGGCCCAAGACCATCCGCACTGATGTCTTGTGTCTATCCAGCAACTCCCTCAAGTACCCACAATTTCTGGCAGCTTGACTGCAAGGAAATAGGAGCACCAGGATCTCAGTAGTCCCTCATCTTCCTCTGTATATTAACCCTAAGAAAGCTGGAACGGTCTTATGGCTCATTATTTTTGCTTTCTAATCTCTCTGGAGAGTCAGCTGGCCCAGGTCACATCCAGCTCTGTCTGCTGGAGTAAAGAGAGAGGGAGGCGTCAGGCAGAGGCAGCAGGACATCTTCCTAGACAAGTGTTAGAATTGGGATCTCCCAGAGCTATTTACACTACTTACTCCATGTGGGCAAGACTTGAACAATGATCTCGGGTAGCTCTGTTCCTTTCACTCTGCCTTTCTCCTTTATCTTTGTCATTAAATAGCAATTTTCAACACATGATGAGGTAGCCTGTACAAAGGGCCCAGAGTCCCTGATGGGTTAAAGGTTGCATGTATATAGAAAGCCCCTCTCACTGCTAGCTGAAGCTTGAGATCTGTGAAGTGTTTCACAAAAATACACTTGCTCAATATATGGCTATTTCTAATGGAAAACAATCCATTAGAAAATGGGGCATTGCTGCAGGAAAATGCAAAGGCAGGTTAAGCGGCCCTTCTTTGTGCCTTACTGTAGAGGAGAGCTGAGAGGATTACAGCAAACAGCTGCTGGTGTTACAGTGCTGTGCTACAGTGGATGTGCCCTGATGAGATACTGTAGCTTCACATCCATCATTTACAATCTGAACCACTTTCTCTCTGCTATATTTGTTTGGTACCTAATGGCTATGCACTGTGCTACTAACATGTCTGCCCCCAGCAAGAGTGGCAAGGCTGCGCTGTGATGTGTGCTGTTTGCCGCATCAGTTTTTACCTGCTGTTATCGCTGCTGGTGGTATTCTCCTGATAACATGTACTCTGAGCGTGGATGTATTTAGAGCCTTGCTGCATGTGAAAACAGCTGCCTAGAAGACATTGTGAATTGCAAAAAAAGTTCCTAACATATGATACCTGACAGCCATGGCAAGCCTGTTTCACTTGAGCTCCTGAAAGCAGCTAAAGATTTGTCTATTTTCATATAGTTCTGCCTTCCCCAGAGGAAAACTGCTCTCCTCTCCAAAAGTAGCTGTCTTTAATCCTGGAACAGTTCAGCATTCACACATGCGAGCAAAATGTCTTTCTCTCTCACAAAACTACCTCTTAGGCAACTTAAAAATCCAATATTATGGAGATGAACACATACAGGTAAAGCTTTCGCATCTAAAGATTTACATACATCAACTGCACTGCATGGCTTAAGCAGTACATAACTTACATTCAACAGCTTGTGTGTGTATATATATAACACTAATATAAAAAAAGCTTAAAATGTTTCATAGTAACTGCCCCACGCTGCATGTGGAGCATAATTCAGCCATCGGATTTTCTAATGCAAACCTCCTCTAATTCCACAGCATCACGAGTATATTGCAGCGTATACAAATATTTATGTACATAGGAAAGAAATGTCACTAAAAAAGAGATTGCAAAAGAGGGTATGATCAGTATTAAAGAAAAAGCATGGAAGCACTTTACCTAGCCCTCGATCAATAAAGCTTTAAGCTGCACAAAACCACCAACCCTGTGCACAGCCTGCAGCAGAGTTCCAATGCTGCTGTAGCCACAAACTTCCTCTGATTATGGACAAATTATTTCACCTGTCTTCTACTACTCTCATTTCTGAGAGAGAAGATGCCTGCCTTGTTGCACAGGGGCATTATAAGGCGGGTTTCAACAGTGGAAATGAGATTTTTGAGGCCCAGATAATAAGACAGATAAAAGATTAACATCGGCTCTGATTTTTTTGCCCATTGAAGGAAGGCTCAGAGCAACATATACATTGTGTGCTCCTGCTGTAAATGGTCGGCAAACCATGATACACCTAGCCTGGGCTGATTTTTGCTGCTCTTATTCTGTTTGAGTTAAGCTAATTTCTTTTTTCCTCCTAATAAATGAGGACAGCCTTCACTGCTCGGCAGTATTGCTTCTGCTGAGTCATTCCACAGCTGAGAATTGATGGTGAGAGGCATCGGTTTGTATCCTTGGTTTGCAGCATTCCTTCATCTGGAGAACTAACACTGTAAATCTCTCAGCAGATAAGCTGGAGACTTACATGCAGGTTGGGCAAATTCCATAGATTATTTTATGAGAACATGTGTTCTAATTCTTCTGTAAATGTATTTAAACCTGAGGCTGCCTTATAAATATGCCTGCTTCCCTGAACCAGGACCTAGGGCAAGAACTGTCAGCAGTTAATATGAGAGTTGGGTGAGACAATTTGTTAATTCAAAGAAGGAAAAACTAATCAAATCCATTATTAACTTTTCTCAGTTCTTATTAACAGTCAAAACTCCTCTGCTCAAAGGATCTCTGTTCCCTTTGTTCTTCTGCCTTTTCAAGTGTTAACCCCAGGTGGGACAGACCAATTGCAGAAATGTTTTCACGCTTCTCTTCCCACTTTCCCTGCAGCAAAAATCCAAAAAGAATATGTACCATCAGAGTGACTACATGAACATGACTCCCCGGCATCCACCATACCAGAAGAACAAGGGTTACCCCTCCTACGCGCCAACACGAGACTACACTGCATATCGGTCCTGGCAGCCATGATACCTAGCCTCGTGTGCTTCTAGGCAGTCACTTGCTCTTGGACATGGAAGGACAGCCTCTTATTTTGTCATCATGCTTGTTGTTATTGATCATGGATACCTACACCGTAGCAAGAATTGTCTAAATTTGATACAATATACTAAACAAACAAACATGGGGGGGGGGGGGGGGGAAAAA